CCACCCCCCCCGATCCCAACCCTCCCCACTCAGGGTTTTAATCCCTAATCCCTGACTGTTCAGTGCCTTGGGGCGTCCTCCCGATATGAAAGGTGCTTTACAAATGTCTAAATTTTGTATTGTATTTACTGTATTTTTATAAAATGCAGCTATTATTGAAATGATATTAGATAACAATGTATTGAACAATCCACACTTCAAGACTTGTAAAGCTCCAATATTGTTTTTTGGGGGGTCAGCCGGGTGTCTGACACACGTGGAAACAACAACAACACATTTATATAGCGCCTTTCACGTCGAGAGGAAGTCCTGAGAAACCCTTCACTGTACTTAAGAGTATCCAAACCAAAAAGAGTTACATGCATCCCTACTACACATGAAAAATACAATTATTTATTGGAATGGAATGCACATTCTCTCCGTGGAGGGATGCATCCTGCTCACCTAATTCCGGAAAGTATTAGGCGCAGGTTGGCAAGAGCCAAGGCTTGGGTACCTGAGAGTATAGGTTGGGGTACTGCTGGAGTCAAACCAACTAAAACCATTGATAGGACAGTCTGGCATGCTTTCCTGCTGCTTTGCTTGGTCAGCTAGGACCACCCTCCTATGAGGGGTTTTTCTTGCAGGGTTAACTGAAGATGAGTGGGAGGTTTCCCTGCCCCCAGTGGCTGGTCTGCCTTTCTAAGTCCTGCCGATGAGCCAGGATGGCTGCGCTGTCATCAGCAGTGCCCTGGAATACTGTGGACCTGCCTGCTCAGGAACTGAACTAGACTGCCACAGAGGGTTGACTTGATTCTGTTGTTATTTTTTCCGTTGTGCACCTATCGTGTCAAACTTTTCTCCTCAACTCTTTAGAACTCTATAAAGCTCCACTTTATTCAAGATTTGATTATTGCTCCCATACTTAGGGAATCTTTTTGCATCCCTTCCATTCCTGTACAGGATCCCAAAAAGGCTTCTTGTCTGATAGATTATACCTTCTTCTCCTCTGGCCTGCAAACTTTTTCTTGCAACTTTTCACGGATCTCTATTTTCTTGAAATTCTCTTCTTCTATCCACGCCTCCTCAATAGTGTTTTCAAAAATCAATTACATATCTCCTACTCTTAACTCGTTTCTGTGCCCCTCTCTTCCTGGTATCAAGATTATGAAACTCTTTGAATCTTCCTTTCTTTCAAGCAGTCCAAAAGACCTAAGCTTTGTACCTCTTCACTTGCCTTGTTTCTATGCTATTCTTTTTAAGCTTGCTGGTATAGTGCTCTGAGACCATTGTCACTTAATATAGGTCCTCTCAGCCCCTGTCTTCATTTCCCTCCCCCCCCCCCACCCCGTAATTGTTCAACTGGCCTTAAATTTAACTACAAACTAATTCAACAACAATAACAACAAAATTACATTTGTATAGCGCCTTTCACGTCGGGAGGACGTCCCAAAGTGCTGGACCATTAATTCACTAATGGTTTCTATTGCGAGATCTAATTTGCCTTCATCAATTGGCAGCCCGATGTTTACTTATTTTTTTAATATACTAATGCGTGTTTCTACTATACTGTTTCCTATCAGGAGCAATGATATATTGTCATTTTTATCACATTTGTCGGATGGATAACTAACTGAGTGAGGTCAAGCATAGTGTGCAACAAACAGCAATTGAGGTCGATGTTTTGACAAGTCAGTTTTGGAGCAGGACTGTGCTGCGAAGTTGCTGTGACATTTGGCCCCAGAAGTTTATCCTCTAGTTGACTGGATTGAACTATAGTTCCAGAGTTCTGATACTAACTGGTTTTAATATTTGAAAAGTCTCAAAGCACTTCACAGATTATACAGTAAAGTGAAGTGACTACTTTGCGGGCCAGTTGCGCACAGCAGTGTCCCAAACAGTCGTGGATTGAGGAACTAAATTTATTTTTGAAGGGATTATTACCTCTATGTATTTATAATGCGGGAGGGTGGGGGTGGGGGGTGAATAATCTGATTCTTGTGCTGGGTTTAAGGGGGAGAAAGCTCTTCAGGATGACTTCAGCCTATGAAAAGGTGAGAACAGGCATGTGAGAAGAGCAGTGATGTTTTTGTCCGAAATTTGAGAGTGAAGCTGATGTCACTTTACATGGTTGTAAGCAGCATAGCTTTCAGTTTTGTCTTGGCAGGCATGGATTGTAGGTGAGTTTGGTCAATCAGGTCATTTATATCCCTAAAGAGCATCAGATTCAGGAAGATTAAGATTTGAATAATAAACTGGGCACTTGATCTTCAAAACTTTGTTTCTGCTGTTATCGTATCCAAATTTTTAAAAAGAAAACTTTCAACGTACTTGCTGCACCGAATACTTTTTCTGGTACCTTATTTTAACGGTATTTTGGTGTCATTTTGGGCAATTTATTGAAGTGAAAGCAGCAACTTCAATTAATCATTGTTGCTATACTGTGATGTTGCACTATTTACTGACGTCAGTGAATTTTCCAAAAACCCACAAATTTTAATAATTCAAATAGGTCACTAACAGCAGCTCCCTGTGGACAATCCCTAATAAACATTTGCTTTGATGGAACCTGTGCCCTGTTAATCTCATTTACTACAACTTTGAGATTGTCAGCACAATAAAGTGATAACTCGTAGCATCAGAAATGGTGGTACACATGAACACATTTCTAATGTCCAGATCCACAAATTGATTACATACAGACTAGAGTGAGCAAACTCCCTACTTGCAAAGGCTGCAGGTCATCCAGAACTCTGTAACCCATGTCCTCTACCGCACCAGGTGCCGTGACCCTATCACCCCCATCCTCGCCCGACTCCACTAGCTTCCCATCACACAGAGGATACTGTTCAAGGTCCTGGTCCTCACCTTCAAAGCCTTCTACGGCCTTGCTACTCCCTACATCCGTAACCTCCTAACCCCCACCAACCTGTCCGCTCCCTCCGCTCAGCTTCACGTCCCCCGCCTTGCCCAGCCCCACTCATTGTCAGGCCTCGTTTTGTGCTGTATAATTCCATGATTCTATGTTTTGCAGCTTATGTTTTACTTTGAGTGGACCCACAGCATGAAAATTACCTGTAATAATGAATGGCTGGTTAGTTAGTTAGTTAGTTAGTTAGTTAGTGTTGAAAATTTGCTTATGGAAAAAGCACTTTGGATGGAATTGGGGAAGACAGTGAACACTAAATTTTCCTAATGTTTTCACATGAAATGAAGGAGTGCACTGTATTGTAAACCTTGCTGATGAGATCAAGCTTTGTAAGTATTGTACAAGACTTGAATAGCAGGATAAAGAGCACCTGAGCAGATCTGAACCAATTCATTAAATTAGCTATGAAATAGCAGGTACATTCTGATGTAAGGTAAATTTAATCGAATTGGGTACCAGTAAAAATGACGCGTGAACATTAGTAAAGGTGGGGGCAGCTGGAGGAACTTGTATGATTACTGATGATTCGTTGAAGGTTTTCAGTTCATGTGACACACTTTTCAAAGCTAATCATATCTGTGCTGCATCTCAAGTTTTCACTATGTCAAGATAAATCATTAGTAAAATCCCATTTACAACATTATGAGTTTTTATAGATCATACCTTCATAAGAACATTGATTATTGAAGAGAGTTCAGAGGAGAGAGCAATGACAATGACATTAAGTTATGAGTGGAGGCTCACACTGCTGGACTTTTATTACAGAGAAAATAAACTGGCGGAGAGTGTCTATAATCCGTGTCTTTAAATGATGAAACTGATACATTATGTAAATTTAATCAAGCTTTATGACTTAGACTGAACTCAGAACTAGAAAATGTGGGTTAACAAAATAAGTCTCAAATGAGACCAAAAGAAAGAATAATGGATTAATGGAATCCTAATGAAAGCAACTGATTCTGTGTTTATAACCTTCAACAGTACGGAGTAATTATCTGTTTGAGGAGAGCATTCAGGGTTATATGATGAACAAAAACTCCCAAGGAGGATGAGTGTTCCTATACTGGCAAATTGGGGGGGAGGGGAAGAAGAGGAATTTGTCTGCAGAGGAAAGGGAATTCCTACAAGAATCAACAGTGAACTGAAACGCTGGATGGCTGTCTTGTTTCATTCTTTCTTATGTTCTAAACTTGGCAACAAGTTAGCCCTTCAATTTTTGCCAGAAAAAAATGCAAAATCAGGACTTGTATAGCTGCAAATGATCACCTTGTTGTACAGTGAAAACTCGGGTAAGAGTTATCTTTAGAAATTGTATTAACTCGTAAATCATATGTTCACTACACTCGTTTATTGGATTAAATTAGTGCTGTCCAACCTCCTTGCATTAGTTGAGAATAGAATTGTTCTGAGAATGACCAAAGAATAGCTTAACACATATGTATACCATCTACACAGGGAAATTGCATATGTGTAACACTTCCTAACCCTAACCCCTACCTACCTGCCCGTACCCTCCGTTCCTCTGGCTCTGGTCTGCTCCACGTCCCCCGCCCCAACCGCCCTACCATCGGTGGTCGGGCCTTCAGCCTCTCAGCCCCCAGGCTCTGGAACTCCATCCCCCAGTGCCTTCGCCGCCTCCTCCCTTTCCTCCTTCAAGGCCGGTCTCAAGACCTTTCTCTTTGACCGTGCCTTCAGCTCCCCTCTCGACTCTCTACCCCCTCCTCGCTCCCTCCCTTCCCTCCCCCTGACCATTTCCCCCCTCCTTGCTCCCTCCCTTCCCTCCCCTCACCCTGACCATTTCCCCCCTCCTCGCTCACTCCCTTCCCTCCCCTCACCCTGACCATTTCCCCCCTGCTCGGGTCATGACCCAACTGTGCAGCGCCTTGGGACGTCCTCCTGACGTGAAAGGCGCTTTATAAATGGAATCTTGTTGTTGTTGTTGTCTGGTTTGGATACACTCAAGCGTGTTGGGTTTCAGCGTGTCAGTCATGGCTAACCAAAAGAAAATTATAAGGAAATGTCTTTAATCTGACTAAGGTTAAACATATCCTACTAACCAAAGCACGTTATTCCTTTTTGCTTTCAATTACAGGTAGCTGTATCCATTTGGGAGGTTGGTGGATCCAAGGGGTGCCATGAAGTATTCAGGACCCTTGGAGAGCCAGAGGCTGTCACTTCTTTTGGAGAAGACAGTCTCTAGGGAAGCACAGATGTGGAAGGTGTATGTGCCAAAAAATCTAACCGATCAGGTAAGATACTCATTACACAATTTCTCTTTATGTACTAACTAGACAAAGAGAACTCATAACTTAGACTTTGAATTGGTGTCTTCTGGCTGTAGGTGTAGATTTTAAAAAGTTCACTTGATTTGAAGGCACCTTGCTGGGTCAGATACGATGCCGTACGATGGAAATATTTATTCTACCTTGAAACTTGCAAAGAGTCTTTAGTAGCTGCGATCAGCTTGCAATGTCTGGGTGAAGCTATAACCCAGCTGTGTTGTGGAAAAGGTTGTGCCAGTTTTTGATTGCAGGGTCACTGAACTGCAGATATGATCCCAGTCGTGTCAAAAACACGATCTACTTTCAGTGGGTGTGCACTCTCATGTCTGTGTGATGTACATTTCCAGTGGAACATTAAACGTTTAGCAGTTGTTCTGAAAATGAGTAATATGACTCCAAAGCTTCAACCACAGAATCCTTTAATGGTTAATGACTGTTTGTGGGACTCTGCTGTGTGCAATTGGCATTTCGCCCATGAACTACACAGTCCATTCACTTTACAGTATATTCTGTGAAGTGCTTTGAGACATCTCAGTGATGTGCTAACGCACTATATCAAATGCAAGGATTATTATTATCTATACTAATAAAGACAAAATGTCTGTCTGTGTGTCTGTTCTTGTACCGGGCATATTTGTTTTGGGGAATCTCCTATCGTTGATGAGCTGTATTAAAAAATGCTTTAATTAAGCCCCAAAGTATGAGGTATGTATGGTATTCTGCAACAAAGTAGTGACAGAGGTAATCACACACCCTCCGAGAGAGTATACTAATAAAGCTGAAATGTCTGTGTGTGTGTCTGCCAATAACGCAATAATCGGTGCTTAAGATGTACAGTGTTTATGGTATGTTAAATGGTTTGTGAGTGATATCACGGAAATCTACATTCCATATTCGATCCTTTAGTTGCAAGTGTAGCTGCAACGGATTCAGCTCGTGGTAATATACTTAGAAACTTTTTAATATTTTGAATGGAATGTTTCATGGTTTCAACCCTCCCCCCCACCCCCAGTGAATTAGTTTTAAGGAACAAGAAGTTTGTGTACTTCTTAAATCATGGTTACTTCAAAGAGATTTATCAGCATTTTAATTCAGCTATATAGTTTACTTCTTAAACTGTTCAGCTGCTGTGGAAATGCACTGTAATTTTGATAATATGGTAGAAGATGAATAAATATTTTATTAATGTAGAATAACAATAATGGAGAATTGCTTTCAATGCAAATTTCCTTCCTAAAACAGTTCTGATAATGTGGTGGGATAAGAATCCATAACTAATGGGATACTAATGGTGAACCACTGTAATTGCAGCATTCTGGAGATGATCTTGTTGAGTGTGTTATTCAGGCTTGGAGACCTGGAATGGCAGAACTCGAGCTGCTTTTTTATGAATGGAATATCTGTTGTTGAAGCAGAGTGCATTAATTCTACGTGAATTACATAGATACTTCAAAAGGTATGAGGAGTCATCAAAAAATGGGATTAGATTAGGTGGTCGTGGAGAAAAACACCAGCACAGATTCAGTAGATCAAATGACTTATTTTTGCTCTGGTTGTTTTTCAGTGATTCGATGATCTTCTTATTGAAGTTGTTTTTCTTTATTCAAAAATAATTTAGGTTTCCTGGTGGCACTGTATGTAAATGGATGGTGTTGTCAACCAGATTTGAGTCCAAATCCATGCTGATGTCTCCTCTTAGCTGAGGTAGTGATGAGAACCTCTGTTCCACAACTAGGAAGAGGAAAATTCAACCTGGACTTCTATCCCTAAGATAGATCTATTGTTGATGTCTGATGACGCTGATTGAGGAAGGGTCAAGTTGAGTTGGGATGGCTGACATTTGCTGTTTAGATTCAAACGCAGAAAATTAATTTGGATGGGAAACCTACTTAAGCTTTTGCACAAGTTTGGTTATAATGAGTTTGCTGTGGAACTTGTGAGCATGGTTGCCAGCTTTCATGCGCACAGGGAATTCAGTCAACTGTGCTTTCTACATGTATATGCAGTGCACAAGAAGTGATGTCTGTTGCAGGCGCTTTTTCAGGAAATTGCCTCTTTCACACTTGCATGCTGTGCAAACCACACAGGAAGTCACTTCAGCAGTGTCTGCTTTGCTTACTTTTTGTACAAGAACTGTTATTGCGGAAGCCATTTTAACTGTGTGACCCATTATACGAAACAGCCTAACATTATAACGGGGTTTTCCTCTATTTAAGTGAGATTCTGGAGTAATGCCGCACTTGTGGAATTCTATTCCAGTAACAGTCGAGGCCTTCAAGAGGGAAGGGGACAAAACAGGGCAAAGAAAATGCAATCATTTCAAAATGTATTAGAGCGAAAGGAAATGTATCTTACCATTGGAAGTACGTGTTTCTGTAAAAAAAAATAATTGCAGTAAAGTAGTACCCATAATATTCTAGTTTCCCTTCACCATCCCTTCCTTGTGTATATGGAAATTCATCTTCACTTTCCCAAGACTAAGGTGTGTATGGGCATTATAGAAAGAAATTCTTCATTTTGGCTTTATTTTTATTAATGCCCCACAAATGTCTCAGAGGTAATATAAATGTTTTCAGTTTCTTTTGGTGGTATAATAGGCACAGGATGTAGGAAGACTGGTCATGAATGTTTCCACTCTTCCGAAGTATATTAATGCAGTAGGTTACATTTTCTGTCTTAGAATGAAACTCCTGTGCTGAAAGACTCCTTCATTAGATGGTATTTAATAAAAAGCTGTTGGACTGAGTTATTCAGATTAACATGTCGATTAACCTCATTTTGTGCAGTGCCAATTTAAGAAGCAAATTATTAGTTCCCAGTTGGCACTCATTCAAATTCCTTTCTTTGTTGAGAAGTCAACAGAGACGATATGTGTGCAGTAGAATTCCAGTGCAGGTTTCTCCTTTACAGCCAGGAGTTAGGGTTGTGAAATGCAATTACTTTTCGTTGTAATTTGTTACGAGAAAGATGGCTGTGTAGAAAGCAGAATTATGTTTCTCGCCACTGTTGAAATGTGATCTTGGCAGGTTGAGACACACTAAGCAAAGCTTCTGTTGAATAAGCATTAAGGGAAAGATAGGATGACAAAGCTGGAGGGTGCTTGGATTCCCATGATTGTTGTTTGGAGGTTATACTATGACCAAATGGACAATTAATTTATTGAGATTACATGCAAATCTGATATCTGTGTTTTATTATTGATAATACATGGAGGAACCCTTATGAATGGCAGATGGGAGAGGGATGCTCATTTCCTTTTTGAGTACAAGTTTGTTTGAGTTACACAAATGTCATGTTGGCACTGCAAAATATGGTGTGTGGGGTTCATTTCATATTTGCAGGTTGTTAAAAAAAAGTCTGCATGAAGGTTTTACAGTGATTGTTTCAATTATATTAATGTAATTTCTTCAGCTTTTAAACTATTATTATTTTCTTATTTTCTCTGTCCTTGGTTCCCCGTAAATGCATTTTGCTTCACCTGGAAAGGAAGTGTTCTGGGCACACTTTTCTATGAACACTGCATGTGCTGCCATTTGGCATGGTAGGTGGTGGTGTATCTCTGAAATAACACTTATGTTGCCACTATTATTTTCTTCCTGAGATCTGCTTCTCTAATTTGCTGTATTCCATCCTGTGACTTGGCTGAGAATGGGCAATACTTAGTCACAGAAGGAAGTTGCCTTTTATTAAAATCATCTTTAAAGCTCCTGTATTGTATTTCAACAATCTGTTGTACTCAAGGTCTAGAGTAAAGTTTACTGTATTTATGCCAAAATACTGCACTTTTATTTTTGAAGCTCGAGTACATTTCTATAATGAAAAAGGGTTATTAACTTGTTCACAACAGGAAGGAGTAAATGTACGTGCCAGCTTGAGTATTTTACAAGGTGGGAAGAACCATAAATCAGCATTCCCATAATTTCTTTGGCATAAATACAGTAAACCCTGGATAATAAGGCACTGGCTTAATTAGTCACCACCACTACTTGAACTCAGCTCAGAGTAAACTGATGATTTGAAGGGATCAGATCTTTGGTAAAAATTCATGTAACAGGATTGATCTCAACTAAAGTATCTTAATAGGGATAATCTTGTAAATTGGAACCCTTTCCAAGGATCAAGAATATAAAAGTTAGCCTGGAGCTGTAGATTTTCACTGCAATTCAAGTAGAAACAGTTCAGATAGTCTGCTGCAGAGGGCAGCAATCGCTGAATATGGTATAGTTCTACAATCTACAATTCTACAATCATGAGGAACCACTGTTCATCCTGTGTGTAATTTTTTTATGGTTCTCCTTCCTGCTGTGAGCAAGTTAATGACGCTTTTTTATTTTGGAAATGTACTCGCTGTTTTCACTGGCGTCCACAGGCATTCTAGCAAAAAAACTGCATAATGTGCAAAACTGGGATGTTTGATTGATTTACTCACCGAAACCCATGGACCACGAGTCCAACAACTTACATTTATATAGTGCCCCTTATGCAGGGTAGTGTTTCAGAGCGCTTGTAGAGCACTGACTGATCAGATGACGCACTATAGACTGGAATGCAAACCAGGAGCCTTGTACAGTATGGTATAGTTCTACAATCATGAGGGAACCACTGTTCATCCTGTGTGTAGTTTTTTTATGGTTCTGAATTGGGTTTGAGTCTATTCTGAGAAAAAATGCTCTGTGTATATTTTTTGCTTAATTATTGGTCAGCCTTGTTAGTATTTGCAGCTTTTTATTTGTGTTAGTCAATTGTATATAACGATTGTTTTTATTTCTGTAGGATATAGATGTTTCTCCAGCACACAGGGATGAGGTGATTCGATGGCTGGTTGAACTCAACAACAAGTTTTACTTTTATCCAGAAACCTTTTCCCTTGCCATCACTATTTTGGACCGGTTTTTAGCTCTGGTAAAGGTAAGATTGTTTGAAGTTTTATTTAACATGAGCTGTGTTTGAAAGAGCTATTTTCTGTCATTCACTTCCTTGTGCTTAGCTGAAAATTTTCCAATAAAGTCATTTGAGACATGTTTACACCATGGGTGATATATTGGTTATTCAGCTTTATTTCATGCTGAAATCGTGTCGTTTCTGTCAGTTTAGATAGTGCCAACATTGTTTAGAGAGTGCCAATTGGAGGAAAAACTGTCCAAAAAGGATCCACACATACTTGGAATGTATGATGTCATATTAATTACTACAACAACAAATTACATTTGTACAGTACTTTTCACGTCCTAACCGTAACACATTGGAGTTGTGTGTTCTGCACACGTGTGTGAAACCCAAACCTGGAAATCAACAGGATTTGCCATATAATGTTTCATTCATTAAGTATGGAATTGGGCCATTAATAATAATATTAATCCTTGCATTTGATATAGCGCTTTATCACGTCTTCAAGACTCAAAGCTCTTCACAGAATATACTGTAAAGTGAATTGACTATATATTTTGTGGGCGAAAATATACAAGATTTTAAGATTGGAAGATTTTAAGATTCTAGAGCTACTCTTGAGCCTAAATGCCCAAGACTACTTGATTCCTTGGAGTTGAAGGATTTTAACTATGTGCTTATTAATCTTTTCATTTAAAATTTTTAAATGATTTTTAAAAAAAACGATATATTTTCAGGCCCGTCCAAAGTATCTGCGTTGCATAGCTGTTAGTGGTTTCTTCCTAGCAGCTAAAACCAACGAAGAAGATGAGGTTGGTAAAAAAAATATATTTTTTTCAAAAAATCGTGGCCGAAAGTTTATTTCCTTTCTCTTCTCTAACCTTTCTGTACCCTTCATAAAGCAAACATGCTGCATGCAATTCCCCAAACTGAGGGTGACTTGTTACTCTGTCTGCTAATTCCACTCTACATTCAAAATCACAATGTGTGTGCGTTTAATTTTGGCTTTTCTATTTTGTGTTTTCTGACTTTACAGCAGAGATGGTAATGTAGTATCTATAGAGCTGTGGACTACACTTACTACTCTGTGGAATAGCGCATGAAGCATCAATAACAAACAAACAGAAACTGTACATATCTAGAACTCTCAGTATTTTAGTTTGGAGACTACGTGTCAGAACCTGACTGACTTAAAAAATATATAGCTTAGCACTTCACACTTTTTTACATAGGTACATAGATACAGACATAGAAACAGGAGTAGGCTATTCAGCCCCTTGAGCCTGTTCTGTCATTTTATAAGATCATGGCTGATCTATACTTCCAAGTCCAGTACCCGCCGTTGCCCCATATCCCTTAATTCCCTGACCTAACAATATTCTTCTACCTCCATCTTGAAAATGTGAATGGATACAGCATCCACAGTCTTTTGGGGGAAGAGAGTTCCAGATTTTCACTAGCCTTTCGATGAAAAACTGCCTCCTGATTTCACTTATTGCAGTACTTTTTAAGATAATTAGTTAATATGAATAATGCCTTAATAATAATAATCCTTGCATTTGATATAGCGCATTTCACGTCTTTGAGACGACTCAAAGCGCTTCACAGAATATGCTGTAAGGTGAATGAGCGTATATTTGTGGGTGAACGCGGCAGCCAATTGCGCACAGCAGTGTCCCACAAACAGTCGTGGATTGAAAATGACCAATTTATTATTGTTTTGTTTTGGAGGGATTATTATTAGGCGTGTGGAGTAAGGAAACTTGCCCAAGGTTTCTGCCTGGAATTGAACCCAGGTTCTCGCTTGCAAGGCGAGTGCTCTAACCACTGAGCTACAGGACTCCAAGCCTTGTGTGGTTTAACTGTCGATGCACGAGTTTAATGCATATTGGAAGGATTTTGATATACTTAGCAGTAACCCTTTTTAGTGTGTAAACTTTCCTTTATTTTGAGTATATTCAAGCCTCGTCCCATTGTAATTTGATTCCTCAACTGATCCTAAAGAGCCATTTTTAAGATTTTGAGGAGAACCTTACAGCTGTGTTTCCCAGACCTGAAGCTGCTTTTAAGCCAGTAATCCCTTCAAGTTTTGGAAGAAGAGCAAGCTATCTAAAAGATCAAGGATATTGTGTATATTTTGTATAATGAGTGATACTGACTGCATGATGTTTATGTTTTTATTTATAATGCGTATTTATAAACAATTTATGATCAATTAAACATGTGAAAATAACTTTCACCACAACACATTTAATATTTTGTTTTCAGTTAGTCCAGAAAATGTGTCCCATTGTGGCATCGTATTTGAGTGGGAAGGGTCCTTAAATTCAAAATACTTTAAAGATACCCCCAAATCTTGTGAAAGCACCTCTTGTGTACTTAGCCAATATACCCAGTAACGTGGATTTGTTCTAGATCAACGCTTGTCCAATCCATAATTACTTGAATTTTGTTTTTTTATCTCCACCCTGCAGAACATTCCATCTCTGAAGGACATGGTGAAGAACAGCAATTGTGGTTGTTCTTCTGCTGATATTCTCAGAATGGAAAGAATTATACTGGATAAATTGAACTGGGATCTGCACACGTCAACTCCTTTGGACTTCCTTCACATTGTAAATAGTTTTTTTCCCAAGATGATGTGTTTTAAAATGCACAATTGTCTGTAATTTACATGCAAGCACTTTAGCAAAGATTTGGCTGCTCAGAAAGTTTAAATGGGATTGAAAAAGTAAACCCAGAACAATATTATTGGATGCACCGACACAGTAGGTTTAGGGCAATTTCAGGACAGATATCAGGAAGTTTTTCTTTACCCAAACAGTAATTCATAACTGGAACGGTTGGGTGGTTAAGACCAGGACACTGGTATATAGTTTGATGCTGTAATGGGGAGACTGGAGGGTGGGTGTTCTAGAAAGATCGAGATCAAATGGGCCGAAGGGCCTTCTTGATCCAAACCAATCCTGTGATCTTGTAATTTCCTAGTCAAAAAATTAGACAGGAGTCTCAGTTGTATACAGCTCTGTAACCAACTGCTAGAATACGTGCAAGTCATTTGATGTAAGTTGACGCATTGTAAGTACGTTTCCTTCCTTCCTGGGAAGTGCTTTACCTTCATCCAGCAACGATTGCACACATCTTAGCTCAGATTGTGTTATGTTTAAATGCTAGGCTTTAATTAATAAAAAATAGACAATTATGTTCAGATATCAACTGGTGGTTTTCCTTCTTGTCCTTAAAGTCCCAAATGGTATTCTGCACTCCCAAACGCACAGGAGGGTGACTAGTGAAGAAATGCCATCTGTGATTTTTACTCATCTCCCTATTGCCATACGGTGTCAACACCTTACACGCAGGGCAGCTGAAGTTGGGCTTCATACAACGGGTGGATATTGCACCATCTAGTTTCCACTTACTGTTATTTCATTCATTTAAAAGTTTATAGAGTTGACTCTGTACCAGTCTCTGATGGATTCCCATTTTAACTGTAGTACAATCCATGTTAAAACTGTTGTGGTTAATTCAAAATGAGTGTGTGTGTGTGTTGGGGAAGGGGGTGGGGGAACTGTGTGTAAACCTATACAGAATGGACAGTTTGAAACCTGAATAATGAGGTGTGCATACATTTCAGCCCAAAACATTTTCATCTATTTCAGTTGTCAAAAGTGAGTCAAATTACGTTTGAAAAGTTCAGGGCATTTTGTGAAAATCCCAGACCATCAATGAAAATCTCCTTACGCCTGGCTTCCTCTTGTCACTTGGCAGCATTGGAATTCAATGCTACTCCTGATCCCTCTGGTTCAGTGAAAGAATGCAAGAAATTATTAGACAGGACTGTTCTGGCAACTGACTGTGGCAGCTGGCAGAATGCCAAACACACCAGAGAAGCCAAGGTGGCTGGACTTGAGAAGGTCATTGTCAGGGGTGGGAAAGCCAAGGCCAGAGACAGGAAGGAAATTGGGTTGGAATTCTACCTATTGGGATATATGAGTGTTAAAATGTTAATGTAGCCTTAATATGTTAATCTTGACAAAGGGGACTAGAGTAAGACTATCTCTGAACTATCAGAGCTGAGATTCCATGCAAACTAGAAAAGTTGGAGATTCTTTTGCAGAAATACCATATTTCAGTTCTACTGAAGGCCTCAGCATCCTTGGGCAGGGGAGGGGCAAATCAACCAGGCTGACTGCCCAATTTCTATTCTGAAACTCTTGCAAGAGATATTTGTGTAGTAGTCTGTTGAGGGGGGGGGGTGGTGGGGTGGCTTTGTTATGATGCTACCTCATCAAATAGTCCACCAGGATTATAGCTGATGTGAATGTCGAGCTTTCTGATAGAATCCTGTAGAAAAATTGGCTCCTGTGGAGCTGTATCCCAGTAAGTATAAGGAAGATTCAGAGCTCCTTCAGAGGGAAACATGCAGATTGTCCAATTTGGTGTTAACTTGCTTTAATTTTTGTTTAGTTTCATGCGATGATGATGTCCAGCCGTCCCCAGATACTCAGCAGCCTACCTAAGATGAACCCATCCCAACATGTTGCACTCCTTATCCGGCAGCTACATCAGTGTGTGGCCTGTCACCAGCTTCTGCAGTTTAAAGGCTCCACACTTGCACTGGCCATTATCAGTCTGGAGCTGGAAACATCAATTCCTGATTGGCTCGCTCTCACTATTGATCTTCTGAAAAAAGCAAAGGTATGAGCTAATTACCTGATCTAATGTCGATAGTTTTAAGTCCAGTTCCTGTCGCGACCACCTGTTTAAAATGTCAGGTTATATGTAGACCATTTTTGTTAACACGTACTTAAATGGTAAACTGGTAGCTTGATGGAGTCCTCTCTCTAGTCATAGTCACAGCACATATGGAAAAATGGGAGCAGAGCAGATAGTAGGGGCAAAAATGTGGTAGTTGTAGGAGGAAGCCAAAATAATAGTGACTCCTTTGGGTAACCTAGAGTTTCCCCCTGATCTGTAGGACGTCCAAAGGATGCCACATTCTGGAGCGGAGGTTCTGCAGGCTTCTGGTTACGAGCAGGAGCTGCACTTTGACACTTGGGAATCTCTATGTGACTTCATGTTTATTCGGAATTTTCACCCTGAGTCTGTATTCAATGTAAATAGCTCGTGTTCAAATCCTGGCATTATTAAAGGACACAACATTAAGAGTGTACTGTATTGAAATAGAACTATTTGGCTGGTTCAATGTCAGGTGCATTTCTTAGAATTAATGTTGCAGCATATTGAACATTTGGGAGCAAATGGCTTTCAGATGTTCACTGCTACTCCACAAGGGTTCAATATTCAAGCTGTTGAAATTTCCTAGAAATGAGAAAAAATGCAATGACATTAAATATAAAATTGTTGCAGTTTTAATATCCTGTCTTAAGAGTTAAATTGTAGGAGCCTCAGATACCCAGATATTTTGTTCATGTCCTTACAACTTATTACAACTAAAAAAAATGCATGTTCTTGTATTTTTCAGATTGATAGCGCACAGCTGATTCGCTGTCGAGAGCTTGTAGCAGGTTGCCTGTCCACATTTCCAGCTTCCCTACCCCCCAATGCGGTGTACATCTACAATCCCCGCAAGCAAACCATGGTTCATTGTGGTAGAGGAATGCTTCGGCTTTATTCCTCCCCTACCACAGAACCAGAGTTTGCTAATGTCAAGGACAACGCCAAGAAGATAGCCAGTACAGCTGCACCCTACCGACGCCCGAGTAGTTCCTATGGCTGCAAGCAGGCCTCAGCAAAACGTAAAGTAGAAGAGATGGAAGTGGATGATTTCTATGATGGCATAAAGCGCTTGTACAATGAGGATGGCGGTCAGGAAATTACAGGGATGGATACTGTAACCTCTAGCTATGGCCCAAATCTGCAGCTTCAAGAGGGTAGTACCTCTCCCTGTCCTCCACTTCAGCCTGTCACAGTCATCTAACTCGGCAGTGGTTAAAGTACAAGACTTGGGCTATTATTGCAGGGAGTTAAAGTGTTGAAGGGCATGCATTACCTTACCAGGCTGAAATGAAGTGAGCCAAACCTTTTCATGCTGCTAATTTTAGTCTAACCATTTATTCAAGCACTAATAAAAAGTATTAAAAAAAGAATATCAAAAAAATTAAAAGACCCCAAAAAACCTGGAACAAAAAAAAAGTTGTAGCGATTTTAAACATTTCTCTAGTGGTTGTCAGTATGATTGCATCTGTTTCTAAATCTTGAAATGTGTTTTTGTGCCACCTGTTCTCCCTGTTGAGTCCACATTTCACTGTGAGATGCATTCAGTTTCACAGCCTAATTGTTACTGTCTAATTTCAATCTGCAGTTTCCTGTGTTTAGAAATCTAATGTTTTGAGTAATCTGCATGTTGTCTTATACACCCTAACCTTTGCTGAAGAGAGTTTTGGAGAGGAGTGTTTGCATAACTCTTCAGTGTATTTAGGTTGTGTGTGCGTGATGTTAACACATAAATTTTGTCAAGTGAATAAGCAAATTTTCTCAGGTGGCAAAGCTGCTTGCAAACTGCCCCAAAAGCTAGAAATGCTGGGAGATTTTGGTTATGAACATGAGAAGAGACTGTTTACACTGCTAACATGCTGTGGAGATTTATTTTGTAATGAATATGGCACTTTTGAATTTTATTTCAGATACTATTTGAAAGACATGCTGTATTTTCTTTGGGTCTGAAGCAAGAGCCATTTAAGTTTATTTTTTTCAGGAGGAGATGGTTGGTTTTATGTGAATTCTGTGTATCATTTTGTAAATTTAATATTTAAAATCAATTAACTGTCTAAAGTGGCATGTCACTGTTGTTTGTAGAAAATAGTTTGTCCTTTTATGTGAAACTTTGTGCCATTTTATGGGAAACCATGAACTTGCCATAAATGTGTCAATTTAGTTTAGACACAGAAACCTTAGCTTTGAATATTTTTGAAACTTTTGTCAAAATTCACATCAAAGTGGTTTTAGTACCAGGAATTCACATAAGATCAATAATGACTGAGCTATAGGGGGGCAGTTAAAACTTAAAATTCTGTGCAAACGTTTACTTATTTCAGCTCCAGTGTGCATTAACTGATCCTGAAAATAGAAAAATATTTTTCCCTACTGTTTCTTATTTCATATTTCCCAGTGGGCACAGTGCTCTCTAGTCTGAAAAAGGTACTGCATACTTTGAAAAAGTGCAGTTGCACTGCTGAGAAGCTTCTGGCAGCAATAAAAGTTGTCCTTGATTTAAAACAACGTGTGTGTGTTTTAAGTGACTCTTTACAGGCACAAGTCCTGTAGCTTAGTGATTAGAGCACTAGCTTCGCAAGCAAGAGGACCCGAGTTCAATTCCTGGGCAGGGTGAAATGTTGGGCAAATTTCCTTCCTCCACACATTGCTATTTACCTAGCAATAAGTAGGAACCAGCTTATCTGGGGGTAATATAAATCCATCCAAACAAATAATAATAATTTGGTCACTCAATCCATGACTGTTTGTGGGACACTGTTGTGCGCAATTGGCTGCCACATTTTGCCCACAAAACACATTCAACAACAAGAAGATTGCATTTGTATAGCGCCTTTCACTTCAGGAGGACGTCCCAAGGCGCTGGACAGAGTACAGCATTTTAGACCCGAGCTGGGGTCAGGGAGGGAGAAGGGGGGTGACTGATGGCATGGTCGAAGAGGGTCTTGAGGTGGGACTTGAAGGAGGCTAAGGAGGGGGTGAAGCGGAGTGACTGGGGGAATGGAATTCTAGAGGGAGGCTAAGGAGGGGGTGAGGCGGAGTGACTGGGGGAATGGAATTTCAGAGGGAGGCTAAGGAGGGGGTGAGGCGGAGTGACTGGGGGAATGGAATTTCAGAGGGAGGCTAAGGAGAGGGCGAGGCGGAGTGATTGGGGGCAAAGTGGCTAAAGGCTCTCCCGCCAATTGTGGAACAGTGTTTCGGGACGTGGAGCAGGCCGGAGCCGGCTGAGCGGAGGGAACGGGTGTGTGGTAAGCAGTTAGGAGGTCGCAGGGGTAGGGTGGGGCGAAGCCATTGAGGCTTTGTAGGTGAGGACCAGGATCTTGAACTGGATCCTCTGAAGGATACGGAGCCAATGGAGTCGAGCGAGAATGGGGGAGATGGGGTCACAGAGTTTGGTGCGGGAGAAGACACGGGCTGCAGAGTTCTGGATTATCTGCACCTGTGGAGGGAGGAGTTGGGAAGGCTGACAAGCCAGATTGGAGGGGTTCAAAGAGGGATTTCTGTGAAGAGCTTTGAGACGTCATGAAGATGTCATCCCTGCTTGTTGGCCTTCCCAGCTTTCCGCGCCACAAGCTGCAGATCATTCAGAACTCTGTGGCTTGCGTCCTCTCCCGCACCAGGCTCCGTGACCCCCACCGGCCTCCACTTCCCCCAGAGGATCAAGTTCAAAATTCTCATCCTCGCCTTCAAGGCCCTCGCCCCTTCCTACCTCTGATCTGCTAATGCCAAATCAATCTCTCTGCTCAGCAGGCTCCAGCCTGCTCCACGTCCCTGTCTGGCCTACCCCGCTCGTTATGTGCCTGACCTGCCCCACCATCGACGATTAGCCCTTCAGCCTTTACCCCCCCACTCTGGAACTCCATTTCACATTCCCATTGCTCCCTTGCCTCCTTCAAGGCATATCTCTTCCACTGTGCCTTTAACCAACCTCCTACCCTGCCTGCTTTCAACCCTCCCTGATCCCAACCCAGCTCAGATTGAAATCCCTGACTGTCCAGCACCTTGGGATATCCTCCCCAATGTGAAAGGTACTATACAAATGTGATTTTGTATTGCATTATATTGTATAATTGTGATCTATATCAAATGCAAAGATTATTATTCTGATTAAGGTGTCACAGGAGTTCAGAGATAGGGTGGAGCCATGGAAGCCTTTGAAAGTGATTCATTAAAGTTAAGGAGGATGGGATTTATTAGCAAATAAATATTTCAAATGTATGATCTGATTACACATCTATATCAAAGACAATTGACCATGATGGTAATTCCCCTCCAGTGCAGGAAAGAGAATAACACATCTGATCTATAGGGGAAGGGAAACACACCTAATTTTCCAGATAAAGCTAAATCATTTTACACCATCATACATAATACTTGTATTTGATATAGTGCCTTATCATGTCTTCGAGACATCTCAAAGTGCTTCAGAGAATATACTGTAAAGTGAATTGATTGTACATTTTGTGGGTGAAACGCGGCAGCCAATTGCACACAGCAGTGTCCCACAAACAGTCGTTGGACAAACTGACCAAATTATTATATTTTTTGGAAGGAATTATTACCCCCGGAAAAGCGATTCAATAAATTGACTAACAACCGGGTTCCTACTTACTGCTGGGTAAACAGAGGCGTGTGGAATAAGGAAACTTGCCCAGCATTTCGTCCTGCCAGGAATTGAACCCTCACTTGTGAGGCGAGTGCTCTAACCATAAAGCTACAGGACTCTACTAATGATGAACAAGAACAATTCATTTTAGGGAATGGTTGGGTTGTACTGTAGGGAGATCATCAGTAAACAAGTGGCAGGGACAGCAATAGCAGAAATCTGGCACAGGTTTTGCCACAATGATGAGGGTGAAGTTGTGTTTTAAAATCAATTTATTTCCTTGTAAAACTTCACTTTTCACATTCTTCAAAACGCTACGTCAAATATATGGTCTGATAGAGGACATGCTCTTCTGGGTCACAAACATGGTTCATAAGGTGATGATTTCTAACAGGATTTCTTAATTAAGGAAAATGGAAGTATACTGAGTCAGGAACATTTTGTTCCTATCTAAGGAATCCAAGTTGTGAGTCTTTCCAGTAACCAACTAAGTATGCCACTTAATTAACTACTGTAGAACACACTGGAAACACCACCTCTGCATCAGAAAGGAGTTCTGCAGGGTCAAAACACTGCACTTTGAATTTTTCAAATGATGGAATCCTGTTGTAAATCACTGCGCACTGGAGCACAACATTTCACATTTGAAGATTGTGATGCGATTACATTTAGACTAGCTAAGCAGTACTGTGCGCCTTTCCCACCCACGGGTCTCTGCTGACCTCTGCAGTAGGAGAATCTCCACAGTCATTCTGAGTTTATAGTTCAGCAGCCATTCAAACTCTCAGTATTTCTTCCCTTACATTCTTACTGCAGAATGTTTTTCAAAGACAGATCATTGCGAACTCAGAGAAAGCAACAACAGTTGTTGACACTGGAAACTGATTTACAACACGTAGAAAATGCAGAGACTGGTGATGCCTTCCACAAAATCAGCTCTTCATTGGTGTCCACACTGCTGTAACAGTAAAGCTTGCATGCAGAGATTAAAAAAAAGCCGAGCTTTCCTTCCATTATAATTTTTGCTCCCATCTGTAACACTGGTAATATTTATGAGGTGTTCTTTTTAATGCAACGTTACCTTTGTGAAGGGGTGCCTGTGTACAACAACAATTTGCATTTATAAAGCGCCCTTCACACAGGGTAGCATTTCGGACTGCTTGTAGAGGGTGCTGGGCTGTGATCGAAAATCTACATTAGTTCAGGGTTTGGCCTGCATGTGTGTTGTGTGCACCTGTGCATTTTGGGGGTGGGAAGAAAGGTTTAAATCGTGCAGTTATTAAAGACTGCAACTATTTGCAACAAGAACAGCAGCTTGCACTCCGATAGGGCTTTTCATGTGGATTAATATCTCAAATCTTTTCAGAGGCAGAGTGAAAACCCAAGCAAGGTGGGATGGTGTAAGGAAAGAAATAATTGATGGGATTCAGCGTCAAAGAGGTAGGTTTTCGAAGGGATTTGAAAGTAGCAAGGGAGAGTGAAGTAAAGAGACTTTAGGGAAGAGTGCCAGAAAGTAGGGGTTCAGAAGCTGAAAGTTCGACTTCCAATAGAGGGTAAGGGAAGTGCAGCAGCTCAGAGTTTGTAGAGGGTGTGGAGCTGAAAAAAATGTTAGAGGTAGAGGATGGGACACAGATGTGGAAGCATTTGAAGTCTTCAAATCAGATCTTGAAGTTGATCCATTGGGAAAGTGGGAGAATTAATCAAGGACAGCAGGAACCAGCAGAGAGAATTTATCAATAATCTTGACTGCAAGATATGACGGTACAATATGACCGATGAAAAAGCATTAAAAGCAAGAGATGGTCAACTGCACTATAAATTGCCTGATCTCTCTCATGTGTTGAAAGTGGACATTTTGTTTGGTATTCTTCTACACGTGACAGCAATAGAAGGGCCACATATCTAAGATGCTACAGCAACACAAGAAATGTGACGGAGGAGCAGAGGTAACGTGATGACACAACAGAGATCTTCTGCAAGATATGCAAATATATTGTAGCTCTTCCAATACTTTTAGCAATCTTATCCAGCAGAGAAGGTCGGGCAGCAGGACAATTAGATAAAGAAGCTACAGGAGAAAGTTAAAGAAAGAGAATCAGTTATATACACAGCAGGTCAGAGGGAGGGAAGGAAAATGGAGCAGAATCCAATAAATGACTAAATACACTTTAGGAGTAAAAACACTTGTTAAACAGCTTGATTGAAGTTTCATAATAATAATAATCCTTAGAAATTGCATTCCTCCACAGCAAGTTTTTACAATTCTCAATTCTAGCATTTCTTAGAACATCCTTGTTATGTCCCACACTGCTACTGTATGGCAGTATCTCCACACCCCACCCCATTTATTCCCTCCACAAGTACCAACTTTGTACCTTCAATTAGGGTTCAGTAATCCTAGCTTTGCCATCCACAAACATACAGCCTCACAGAACATCAAATCACTTCTTGCAAGCAAGTCTAGTCAGCCAAGTGTATGACAAAGCAATGTGCGTGATTGGGTGAGGGGTGGGGGATGAAATCCTGTTCAGTAAAACAAAATCTCAACACTGGAAAAAATGATCATCTTGGAATGCACTCAGGATGTGCAGGCTGTAGCTTCAATACAAGTGGTGCAGGGTTTTAAGTCTGTCTATTGATGTCACATGCAGTTACCTCATTTTTGTAACAATTAAAGCAGAACAGAGGCATTAACAAACACACATCACAGGTAATGCAAAACAGTTATCTGGGTAAAATGCATTTCTTAGTGCTGACCATTATATTATTTCGATGTGATTCAGAAAATTCAAGTGTGTGCATTATATATAGAAATAGGTTACAGTATACTATATTCACTATAAAAGTCATTTACTTCAATGACAACTGTAACAAACTTTCCTAATAAGACAATTAACTAATGCATACAAGTTTTAGTGCATTAGTTCAGAAGTTACCAATTCCATCCCATGAAATTCAAATAAAAAGCAAGCATTAAAAGAAAGGATATAGAAAGATCATTGGTATACACGCATTCACCAGCTTTCAGGAAATGACTCAATGTAACCAATATGAAATGACTTGGTCAAAGTAAAAACAGACCAAAAGCCCAAATAACCCATGTATGCACCGGTGCACCTGAGGATATTACAAGATTATTACAAGAGTGAGATTCAGAAACAAGTTCACTCAGGAGTCTGCAGTTCACAGAAACTGTCTTAAAAATGGTCTTAAAAAATTTTGAGTTTTTATTTATATTGTGATGGGAGTACAGTGAATACAAACAGTGAATACAAACAAAAGTGGCAGGTTGTGATGTGCAAACTACTTTGACAGAGGCACAAAGCAAAGCAGGATAGGGGTGCAGAAGCGGTACTTTGCAGTGGTGAAATCAAACTGGATTTCCCTTAAAGCTCTGAGGCACTTTATTTCGAGGAAATCATGGTAGAAAAGAGATGAGAGCCACAGGATACCAATGGGTTGCTCTATAAGTTCACCCAGAACTGCTGAGAGAATAAAGAATTCCAACTGCAATACTTACATGCATAGGTGAAAGCACAATCCAGTTAGATTGGTGGGATATTAGTTATTCCGTGCAGAGCCAAGGATTGCTGTGAAAACAAGGTAGAAGAAATACAAAAACAAAAATGGAATTGCCGCTGAGGTCATTGGCTAAACATGGCCCAGGAAAGGGATGCGACTAAAAAGCACCATCTTTTTGATTAGCCTGTCGTCAAGGTCAATCTAGTGCAATACTTTTTAAACTTTGCTCACTACAACTCATTGCTTTATTAAACAACAAATTGTCATTTTTAAACCCTTAGAGCTCAAACTTCACTTAGATTCCTCAAATCGTGTTGCTAGCCTGGGGGGAAAGGGTGCTGAAGCTGGTATTATTTATTAGTTACCCGAGTTTTACTCCTCTCTGAGGCACAGATGGCTCCAGTACTCTTCTTACCCACAGGCCAAGCTTGACCTAGCGGCCCAGCTGAGAGCTCGCCAATTGAGGCAAGGTGAAGAGAGGATAAATGACGCTTATGAAATGAAAAAACCTTCTGTGTGGAACTCCAAAGCTCTAAATGCAGAGACACTGAGCAATCCAGTCCCTGCATACTGTTGTCTTTCAATGATACAGTAAAACTGCAAGGTTTGTCTCAATATTCAGATATGAAAGAAAATTCTAATATTGCACTGCATTTACAACCCCCTATAAAAATTATGAATTTCAAGCAGGGCTTTTCATATCCATTTCATATCCCCCCCCTCCAAAAAAAAGGTTACTTATACAAATTAATACTATATTCATACTGATTAAAGGGTTGTACTTAAGTTAACACTTGTTTCCAAAGTAATACATTTTCATTTTGAGTTTTAATGTGCAAAGTTTTTGACCGACAGTTTTTTTTCAAAAAAGGCAGACAGCCAGTCGACATTAAAAGTCTGTTCATGCAACATTTTAAGGTGGACACTGATGGCATCTCTCCTCTCCCAGGGCCATGTTTGGCAAGCAAAACTGAAGTCTGACGCTGAAAAGTGTGAAGCTTTGAAACAATGCTGCAGTCGCTGGCATTCCCCACCCCATTATGGGTCAGTGAGTCTGAAATAAGGAAGAAAATCTACCAAGCCAGAGGAAGAGAGCGGAGAGATCAGCAGCAGTAATAGTGGCAAATCCAACAGCAGCCACATAGCAATATCATCAGAAGGAGAATCTATCCAAGGGAGAATGGCACAAAAGAAAGTTAAAGAACTTCTTTGATTTGGATAGTTAATACATTAAAAGAGGGGCACAATATCATCACAAATTTCACCTGCTTGAAGCACCTCATTAGTACCAATAGCAATCAGATTCACCTTGTGCAATTGGGAAATGCCAATGGATTCATGTACAACAAGAACAATATGATCGTTACCTTTCCTAAAAAAGATGGCTTCTTGAGACAGTGATATTGGGAGGAAAGATTTGATGTTGAGGCATTAAATTGTACATTATGTACTATATTTAAACAAGGTAGACTGAAATTTGCTCAGTTAAATTTCAATTCTTTTAAGATACCCAAATAAGAAGTTAGTTGGGAGATGGCTAATAATATGCATCAACTTCCTGAATGAAGGATGTTCTGCATCACCCTCCTGTTGAAGAGTAATAAAGTTCTGTTATTTGCTGGCTATTGCTGCTGTTCTCAAAGCTACAGCTTCAGTCTTCATCCGTTTCCCCCGCACAGCCACCTGACACATACAGTACCAGCTTGGTCCTTCCCTCCTCCCTCCAGATCACGGAATGCATTTGAAAGAATGTCCCTGCATTAAGTGACAAGCTAACTGTTCTCTACATGTTTTAACAAAAAGATGGGCATTCTTAATGCAGACACTTTACAGCTAAGCAGATGAATGAGTGGGGGCGACATCCTTGGCTTGTCAGCTTTGCTTATGTGAAGCTCGCACTGCAATTAAAAAAGGAAAAAAAAATAAGAGACGGTAAGAAATCAAAATTCATAAACACACCAAAACGGTTGTATTCTCATATTTTTGCAAGCAATAATAAAAAATAAACCATACTTATTCATGGAACAGCTACTGATAAGGTTTCATGCATGTTAGCAACTTGAGATTTTGTAGTTTACAAAATCTACTCGACACACACAGACACACACAAAAATGGGCTAATTACTGGCAAATCACAGAGCTAACGGATCAAATCATTAAAGAAACATTATCCTGTATATGTGTGTGTGTATATATATATATACACACAGGATAATATTTATTTAATGATTCGAGATATATAGATTCAAAAAAGTTTGATTAATCTTTGAAGAACACATATGAAATAAATGCCCTGCCCTGAAAGTAATCCATCATTGGTACCATTTTGTTCACGAACTTTTAAGCTTGAAATTTAAAAGCCATTTGTCTGATTTCCTTTTTTTGTAAAAAAAATCAGTTTTTCCTCAAAAACAACCAAACGTATTCCCTGGAGAGACAATCCCATCTCTCCACCTCTGTGTGGTGTACTATGGTAGAACAACTCAACTCAGCAGCCGAGACTCAAAGGCAGTGACGTTTGTTTGTTTGGAGTATTGGATAATTTGAACTATTTTGCAAGATTAACCAGATCTCAACATTCCTCCCACTTGGTCAAGTTGCTAAAAAGATATGAATTCACCAATGAAATGTGATGTAGTTGTTTGGTCAATTTACTGAGATGAACAGTTACACAGGCTGCATCATCCGGCAAAAGAATGAGTGTGCAGTAACGGACCCCAATGGTTTATTCATGATGAATGGGAAAGAGCTGAACTACAAATTCGATGTCAGAAATTAAGTGAGCTGTTGGCAAAGGATTGATGATTACGGAGCAATGATCAGTAGTTATTAATTATAAACCAAAAAAGAGCAATAAAAATCAGACAAGTCTGAATAGGCCACCAATGTTCTGAGAGGGCAATTGTATAAGTAGTGTAATGTTAGCACAGCCAATTGGTTTTAATAAGATATTGTTAAGTACTAAATGACAGATGACTTCACAGAGGTTTTCTTCCCAATTTTCTCCTCCACAGTAGATCTGTGGGTCCTGATGCTTCTCTGATACCTTGCCCATTGTACAAGTTTGTACATGTGCTAATGCACTAAATATAAGGAAGGGGCAGAGGTTGGGTAAGAGATCAGACAAGCCAGATCCTGTCCAAAGTTCATCCACACACTTTCAACAATGGTTCTTTGGATACTGAAAAAGCGTGGAACACTGGCTAACATTTCCCATCCCTAGACCAGAAATAGAGGCTAACTGCAACTATCACATCTTGATCCCAGCTGGACTATCTTAACTCTTTGTGGGAGGCGGGTGGGAGGAAGGGGGATGTTGGGTTATTAGAGAGGAAATGAAACCTGTGTCCGAAGAGATCACAGTTGGCTTATGGCTACTTCCGATTCTGACCAGTAACTAAGTCGATGCCTTGTTCAATATCAACTTTTAAAAAAAGCAATGCTGAAGTTCTAGCAGCTCTGAGCATGTTCAGTACAAACAAATGATGCAGGGTTCACATCACATTGAGTTCAATTGAGATTTGCTTTGTCAATGCATCGTGCAGCGATACAGCAACATTAGTGACTCACAGTAATGAAGTGGGCATGCCTGGATTTCTGCATTCAAACAATGAAAGGAATCAAAGCAGTAGATACAAGTGCTGGACATTGGAAATTCTTAGTTCAACAAGCTGTGGCAAGTCAATGCACCTGTCTAAATGTGGGCACCTGGAGGTGTACGTGTAGATAGCCGTTCCCCCAGTTTCCATCTGAGACTTTTCCCCCACCAACACTAGTGATAGGTCACATGATTTGTCCTCACACATAGGCATTTCCTTAGTGTGGACTCCATGTGAAAGGAATGCACTAAGACGCCCGATTTATCATTAAGTGCTTTATTTCTGTCTCCTGCGAGTGGAAAGTACATTGGTTATTTGGTCATTGGTTAAAGATATTCATACAAGAAGCCATGCATAGAAAATGTGGAAGTAAATTAAAACCATTTCCTGCTCTTTCCATCCCCAACAAAACGTGTAGGATAATAGAGGCTAAAATATAACTCTCGTCGTGTCCCAAAGTCCCAAATTCTGGATTATAGTTGTCACCATCCATCATTAGAACAAGGAAGTTTCATCACCTCCCATGTTGGAGTAAATCACATGTTTCCCTTCAGTCATAATGATCACAGGCACACGGAAAGAATTAGTATCATTACAGTAGACAATTCAAATACAATACCTAAATGATAGTGTACAGAATCTGTGTCAAAGATCACTGAACAAAAGCAATCATTCTGCTGAATTCAAGTTAAATCCAGTTACGGATATACTTTGTACCTCAGAAATCTCCCCATTCGCCTCCCAAAAAGTGTTAAACAGTTACTTATACCAATCAGTGAAAATAATTATCTGCTCAAACATCAGTCCTGCACGAATCTCCTGCTCCCTGCACCAGGATACATCCTCTAAGAAGAGTGAGAAACTACAGCTCTGCAAAAGTACAAGATCTATAGGGAAGAAGTGAAATGGGGAGTTGCAAAACTGTGCAATTGCAGAAATTTCTGTTCCTTGGGAACAACGTGCCAGAAGTAGATAAGACAACTGCAGTGAGGGACCAGCAGAAGCACTGAGATATTGGGTTGAACAGTCTCTCTCATGCTGTAAACTTTATGGGATAGTCAATTCCGTAACTACCAGCGATGTCCCATACAAACATGATGCTGAGGAACCTACATGATCCGCAATGAAAAACATCCAATTCTGTGACTAGTAAAAACACTGGGACCTCATCAGGTCTCGTCAAAGAATGCGAAAGACAGGGAGGCTGACACAAGAAAAACTGGAAAGCAAGGCTTGGCGACTTGACATGCAAGAGCTAACTTCAGAGATAGTATGATAATGGGCAACAGTGTTCAATTACATTAGTAACAACAACAAATTGAATTTACATAGCGCCTTTCACGTCAGGAGGACGTCTCAAGGTGCTGGATAGTCAAGGGTTTTCACCCTAGCTATAGACTAGAGCCGAGAGTGGTGGAGGGCAAGGGGGTGGTGGGCAAGGTTGCCATGCAGCTTGGCGCCACTGTTGCTTCTGGTGAAGAGTTTGGCCGAAACCTTAACCTGACTTTCTCTTTCAGATGTCGATTGACCTGCTGCGGATCACCAGTATTTTAGGGTTTAATTTCAGACTCCCAGAGTTCAGTTTTGCCCCTTTTAACTTTAGTTTCAGATGCAATTTCTCATGTGCTCTTCCGATTCTAGTCTATTGCTCTTTCCAAACTCTCTCCATCTCACCATCAGTAGCTAATCCTTTAACCACAATAGCCCTTCTCACTGAAACTCTTCCAACAGCTTCTGCCTTGCGTCTTCTCACCCCGATTCAAAATAGTCTTTTTTTATTAAAAATTTCCCTTGGTCAACACCCTCAATCTCCTCCTCCCTTTTCTCCCTCACTTAGTGATCCCCATAGATACTGTGAAGCATTTTGATGATTTAAGTCATCAACTTCACCGTTAAAGAGAAACACATTGCTTTAGAGCACAGACAACATGGGGAGACACAGTTCAGAAATTTCCAAAGAATGAAGTTCAAAAATCCCAAAACAAATCTGGCTAGCACGAGACATCAGTCAGTCAGCACAGAGCATTGCTGGGTCATAGAGATTCAAAACGTACAAGCTTACTTTTGCCTGGCAGACAGTTTCACACAAACAACCAGATGAATAATCTTTCAAAACATCTGGATCTCAAACCAGGTTCTCTTGTTCCCATCAAAGGATTTGAACGTTTCAGCACAGTTGGCGGCCACTTGGCCCATCATACCTATGGAAGCTCTCCTTTTCTTCCCTCCACCCACATCCTTTTATGGTTATCCTTTTTAGATGCATGTCTAATTCCCTTTTAATAGATGATATGAATTCTGCTATAATCACCGTTTTGGCATGGTATTCTATTAACCATTTGTAAAAAAAAGAATTCCTCCAACCTCTCTTTCTTTGGTAAACATCTTAAATTTACTGCCTCTAGGTATCAATTCATTAAATCAGTGAAAAGAGCATCTCCCCATTTACTTCATCAAAATCCTCATAATCTGGAACACCTCTATAACAACAAATTATATTTATATTGCGCCTTTCACATTGGAAGGACATCCCAAGGCCCTGAAAAGTGATCGCTTAACGTTCTCGGTTCTTGTGAAAACAACCCTAGTTTATCCAGTTTCTCCTCCTCAGCTAAGACTTCCCATATTAACACAGGGGTTAAAATTAGACTAGGGAGCCTGGCCCACTGTATTATAAACAGATGAAAGCGTTAAAATTCTATATATAAAGAACACTGCCTTACTTTTTCTTATCCTTGTCCTTCTTGCTGGTCTGGGAGGCCGCTTGCTGAGCCTGTGACTGAAGCAGCTGAGCGGCTGCTTTCTTCTTGTTGAACGCGTTCAATTCCTCCTCCAGGTCCTTCTTCTTATCGTCCACCTTCTTCTTCTCGTCCTGGTGAGTCTTCTTCAGGTGATCAAACTTCTCATGGAGCTGTGGAGACACATCACACAGGCATTGGGAAAACTAATGGAGCTCACATATCCAGAGCACAATGCATAGGAATTAGGGGAGCCAACAACAACTTGCATTTATATAGTGCCCCTCATGCAAGATAGAGTCCCAGAGCTCTTGATAGTCACTTATCAGCACAAAATTTAAAGACAAGTGTTCACATCTTCTTCGCCCCCATTTTCCTCTTGAAGGTGACTCACACTTACCCCACTCTCCTCGCACTGAGTGATGGCAAACCTTCAGTACCTAGGCCAAGTGGTCACTCAAAGTCAGGTTCAGTAGTAGGGGCCAGCAGGCTATTATTGGGCCACAAAGGGATATTACAACTGGGCCTGATCTTCACTACACAATTCAAAAAATACTGAACAGTAGAAGTGATAGGACAGCAAATCAGTGGAAAATGAGACTTTTCACTTCCTAAACAGTGATACTGAGCCCAGATGCAGTGCTCCCATCACTGCCCAATTGAGACCAACTGACACAGGAAGCACACAGGGACTCTCTTGATATGCTCAAGACAGCATCAGGCAGTGCAGTTATTCACCGTGATATTTTCGAAAACATTCTGCTGAACACAGAAACTGGTTGCTGTGAAAAGGGGCATTGGAAAAACAATCATTTGCTGATTAATCAGTGCAAATGTCAAAAGCAATAGACACAAAAGAAAACTCTTTAGAAATCTTCATGTTGTCAAATGTTAATTTTTCTATTACATTTGATCCAGCCTTTCCATTTTTCAATTCACTTCCATTTTATTTTCTCCCCAACCTCTTGCAGTCATTGCCCAGAGTCCACTGAGATAGCAACTCCAATCCCAATTTACAGTGAAACTGGAGACAAGCCATTTATGAAAACCCCAGTTAATATCTTCACAACATAATTAAAGATTAAGAGGTCATAGATCCAACCACACTAATGCTGGAATGAGGACAAAGCAATTCAGCACCGCTTACATTGCTTTTACATGGTTAAGTGTCATACCCTGGTGGCCTCATTCCACTTAAGACTGTGGTGCTAATTCCACAGTACCAGTGAAAAGAACAAATAGCTGTGCATATTTAAAAGTTGCTTTTATGAGTTATTTCTAGCTGCTGACCCTTCCCTGATCTCCGGCTTGTGTCTGCACATAAGCTTGAAAGGTTATTGGGGGAAGCGGTGCTTTCAATGCTACTTCTGAATGTGCCAAAATTCCCAGTTCAGGATCTCTGGAGACAACAGCCTGGAGACAATCTTGGCACACTCAGAGGTAGCATTGAAAGCACCACTTCCCACATTAATGCAAAAAATAAAATGCCCCTGGGGGAAGTTACATTTGACAATTGGTCACTGAGAATAAGCCACAATTTTGTTCATATTTACAGCTCAGTTAATATTGCAGCCCCCTTCTATTGAAGAGATGTTACATTTTGTTGACAGTCTAATACACATCACTGAAAACACCAGTTACTTTAGGCCATGGTGGTTCAACTGGCGGCCCACGGGCCAATTTCATCTGCCGTTTCTAGAAGGAAAACACCAAAATATTGCTTATGGGGACCGCAGTCGTTTCTCAAATGGGGCATCCGGCCCTCCTCCACCCCCTGCCCTCCTCCACCCCCTGCCCTCCTCCACCCCCTGCCCTCCTCCACCCCCTGCCCTCCTCCACCCCCTGCCCTCCTCCACCCCCTGCCCTCCTCCACCCCCTGCCCTCCTCCACCCCCTGCCCTCCTCCACCCCCTGCCCTCCTCCACCCCCTGCCCTCCTCCACCCCCTGCCCTCCTCCACCCCCTGCCCTCCTCCACCCCCTGCCCCCCACCCCCACCCATGGTCTCCTCCACCCTCCGCACCCCCCTCTGCTGCCCCCAACATCCCTCCGCGCCTCCACCCATAAGGCGCTGTACAAGTGTAATTTTTTTTGTTGTCAGTAGCTAAAAAGGTTGGACCACCCTGGCCTAGGGAAACAGCAGCAGCTTTTACTTAAACCTCAACTTTTTTTTACCTCTTTCTCAGCCTCTTTTAGCTGAGCTTCCTTCACTTTGACCCTCAGGACAAACATCTGTCTCATCTCCTCCTCCTTTTTCTGAAGCTCACCCATGAATTCACTTCTCTTTGCCTCGTAGGTTTCCTGCAGACTGAAAAACAAATACAGGATAAAAACAGAGTCTGGTTTGCATTTCTGTGCAACACTGTGAAAGTAGCCTCCTCCAGCCCTGGAAACAAAGAGCAAGACTTGACTTGTGTTCTCACTTCAAATTCAAATTTTAAAATAAGATCTTCCTCTATGACAATCTTTCCCCCCTCCCCTTGGCTCCCACCCCAGCTTGGCTGCAAACCTTAAACTGTCCAGCGCCTTAGACAGGCTTCCCAACATGAAAGGCACTATATAAATGTAAATGTGTATTGTAATTTTTGCACCACTTGAGCCTCCATTACCATGTGATAACCCATATTTTATGTATAGATGTTTCAAGATCTAAAGTAACAAAAACAATTCTGAAATATACTCATTGATAGAGGTTTGCATGCACAGGATTTTAACTCTTTACACACTAAATTAGACACCATTAGGTTTCCATATAGTTTTCCAAGCAATCTTTCCATCTGCCAATTTGTTTCGTTCTTCTTCCCATAATTATCCTGGCATTAGATACAATGCTTTCAAGACTCTCAAGTGTAGTTGATGACCCCTGTGCAGGGTACTGTAGGCTTCAGAAGTCCATGTCCCAAATCAACTACACCTTCAAAAAAAACATTCAAAGTAATGCCTGGAATGTTGAATAGTGTCAAAGCAGTTCACAAAGAATCTCTGTCGAGTCTGGTGACTATTTGTAGAAAAAAGCAGCAACTAATTTGCACATAGCAATGTCCCACAAACAGCTGCAAACTCAACGACCAATCCATCTGGAGGTTGTTAGCCAGGACACTGGGAGGAATTCCTCTTTTTGGGAATAGTGTCATGGGATTTATAACGTTCATCTGACCAGGCAGACAAGACCTGGATCTAACATTTCATCTGAAGGATGGCACCTTCCACAACGCAGTGAAACGTCAGTCTCTAGACTAAACTCAAAGTATCTTCTTTGAAAGTGTAATTGTTTTGGGGCATGGACTCCTGAAGCACCTACAGACCCCGCACAACGGTCTTCATCACATGTGAGATTACAAAATATACAGTCAATTCACTTTGCAGTATATTCTATGAAGCCCTTTGAAACAACACCTTGCATATATATAGTGCCTCTCATGCAGAAGCGGCATCCCAGAGCTCTTGAGATGTCTCCAAGATGTGATATCCTATATCAAATGCAAGGATTATTATTATTATTATTATAATAACAGAGTCTTGAAAGCGTGGGATGGAAAGCTTCAAATGTCACTGAAACAAATCGGAACCAAGCTCAATCATGTTCTCATAAGTGAATAAGTGCATAGACCCTTTGCAGCGAGCAAATGCCTAGCCAATTTTCATGCTCTCTTCCCCATGCCTCCCCCCCATGCACCCAATTTCTCCAGGGATACTGCTCAATCTCACTGCGTCTGTCTAAGATTAAGAAAGCAACCACTGAGCCATATTGGAGAAAATGTTCATCAGAAATGAAATTTAAAAACCACAGTAATTAAGACCTCAACCACTAGCACATAACCTATATTACGTTTTTTTAAAAATCTGAATTGATCTGTATAAACCCTGAAACTGCACAATGCATCTCTAGGGATCTTTCTACCAATTCTTTATTTGGCCAATTGTCTATAGAATAATAATAATAATACTTGCATTTGATTTAGCACCTTATCACATCATTAAGAACATCTCAAAACGGTTCACAAAATATCTTGTAAAGTGGATTGATTATATAGTTTGTGAGAGAAACTCTGCAGCCAGTTGTGCACCCTGGGGTGACTTGACACCTTTGGCTTTGGTGTAGTCAGGGTGACTTAGAACCCGAGTTATCTTGGCTCCACAAAGCCAAATCTCCAAAGTTGTTACCTAAAAGGTTTGCTGTCGGGGTCGGTGTCCTTGAATCCCATCTCCTCCAGCTTACACCGTCTGTATAGCTCGTAGTGGCGTGTGTGTGTCTGCTCCCTCAGGTCCTCCATATTCACTCGGATCAGCATTTCTCGCAATTTCACAAAATCGCAGTGATTTTCATTTTCCACTATTAGTGTGGGTTTTTTTTAAAAAAAAAGGAAACAAAGAACTGAAATAAACAGTTGTTTTGGCAGAAACACTTTTCAGTTCATGAAGTTCAAAGGAAGGCATTTCTTCACATCTTTTGAAATGGCAATAAATCTCATCATTGACAGGGAAAGAGGCACCTTTGGGTAATGCTCCTAATCTGTGAAAGGATGTAACCTGAGCAGCACAGTCCATGAAGCCAGGGAAAGAGTGAGGAGCATAATTGTCATAATCAAACTATGTAAAAATATACTTCTGGTGTCTTACCCTAAAATTGTTCTTCACAACCCTCAACCTGTGAACCTTGTCCTGCTGCCTTGGTATATCTGAAAGTTTTGTTCTGCATCAAATTTCTCTATCCCATTTAGAATCTTATACCTCTATAAGCTCCTCTCTAGCATTTATATAGTACGTTATTAACTACCACTAATAAAGTAATAAACGTATCCCAACGTTAAAATAAAAATAACCATGTATTTGATACAGTGCCTTTCACATCGGAAAAGCGTCTCAAAAACATTTTACAGGATATACTATATGGTGATTATTTTGCAGCAAATGAACTTGTTTAGACCGTTTATTATAATTACAATGCTTGCATGTGAAAAGGCACTGAACTGTTTCAAAGTGGTTCACAGGTAATTATTGTCAAATATATCAATTGTATTAACAGCCGAGACCATGGAGGCATTTGATGGTAAGGGTAAATTTTATCTGCTGCGGGATAAGGAGCAGCAGAGTGGGGCAAGAATGGGGGAAGATGCCCTTCCCTAAATTTTACAATACACTGTTTAGTTTCTAGACAGGTCCAAAGAAAATCGGTTTAGAAGTTTTCTAACTTCTTACACTATTGAGCACACTTAAGATCTGAAAGGTAAGATAAAAGGTACATCTTGCAAGTCAGACATACCTTGCACAATTCCCCAGGGATATTGCCGAGCTTTTGCCATTTTATTCCCAATCTTGATTTCTTCAGTGCTTCCAACAACAGCAAATGGGAGATGTCCCTGGAGAGCAAGAAAAAGAATACAAGTTGTTCTCAAGTCTGTTACTCAGTCGCTGCAGGCTGAAAGGTAGCAATACTTAACTGTGGTCTTCATTAAACAGGATAATTTTAAGTAGAATGTCCTTTTTGTACATAGGAGCGGGAGTGAGTATATGTTGTCCATTCAGGATGTAAAAGAATATTGGACAGTGCTAAGCTGCATGAAAGGCAGCGCGCAGTAGCGCGACTCTAGGAGGTGCAAGTTGCTGTTAATCACTACCAGGGTGTGGGGGAAAAAATAAAAAACACGAACAGGATTTATAGAGCACACAAATTTCACAATGATATCACAGAACTGTTGGGGAGGAATTGGAAGAGATACGCATGTAATAAGGAGAAAACTTATGTACAATGCCCTTAATTTCAAATGAAATGCTGAAATGTAGCATTCTTTTAAACCCATGTAAATGACAAAATCTATTAAATCAGGAATCGGGACTTACATTCATTGTTGAGTTGATCTCTGCAACAGTTTCGTCATCTGTTGGGAACTGGTAAATCTGCACACCATTACTGACCAACTCGCTCATGATTTTGATCTTGAACTTATGCAGCTCGCTCTTGGAGATCGTGTCTGCTTTGGCAATAATGGGAATTATATTCACCTGGAAAACACAACCCGCAAGCCATGGCTTCACACCTTTGCTTTATTTGTACCTAAGACATTCTAATACCTGAATACTGGAGAACCCTTCACAAGTCAATTCTTTACAAATATATACACAATTGCAGAGAAGCATTGGAACCTGGTTCAAAATCAAGATTTGTATTTTCTATTGATGTTAATCTGTGTAACACAAGTTAAAGTTACTGTGGTTTTAACAGAGATCCTGGAGGACATCAGCGATACTCTGCTCAAGGAAATGAATTGAGGCCGTTACCTTCCGACTACCCCCATAGCTCATGCACAATCTGGCGCAACACTGAGCCACTTAGATAAGGTTCCAGAGACTCCAAATTCCTCACAGTCTTAGCCTTATGAAAGTAAGAAGCAATTACTGATGGAAATGATGACTCAAGTCATAACATTCAAGATTGTAAAGAATGTTGGAAATGTCTTAAATTGGAAGACAGATTTCCACATTACAAAGACATTACTGCCTCCTAAATTAAGACTGAATTCAAATTAAGGCAGCATTTTAATTTGAAGACAAATGGTAATAAAGCTAAGACCATTAGAGCTATTGGACTAATGCGAACAGTGTTCTGGTGGCTTAACTGCTGCATGGCTTCCTTCACTTTTTTGAAGGAGAGTTGCAGAACCTTGACACCCACACAAAGAACAGGCAGATAGATAGCTCATGTGACGTATGACACCTCTGAAAATGCAGTGCTCCCCGACACGGCACTGAAGTGTCAGCCTCGACCAGTCTCCAACCAGTCCATCACCACTAGGTGGCGTCTCGTGTATGCTCAATAAAAACAAAGAGGCAGGAGCGATATGTACTGCTATTTAACATTAAAGTTTATATTTTTATTTCAAGATGCACAAAGTATTTCCTACACCTGGCTTAGTTTTTAATTGGACTCACATAACTCTCGCTCCTTCCTTTTGTCTTTTTGATCATGCATGACAGTACCACCTAGTGGCGATTGACAGGTTGGAGGCCACTGGCTTAGAATATAAACTGAAGTCCCAACTAGAGCTCGATTCCACAAACTTCTAACCTAAAGATGAGGGTACCACCTTAGACAGCGCATTGAACCTGAGGCATTTGGGTTTTCGAGTAGATGAGACTTCAGAATTACCTCAAGTGCCATTAATGTTCACAAACATAATAATACCTCTTACATTTGGTGTGGTATTGCCTTTCATGTTGGGAGGACATTCCAAAGATCTTCACAGGACATACTCTAAAGTGCAGTGAGACTCCACATCCAAAACATTGCAGCCAAGCCAGCATTGACAAGCTCATTTTTTGTAATGCAAGTGTTCAACACTTTTGATGCTATTTAACAATTGTAACTATCACCGCCGTGTTTCCTAAAAACATGGGGTGAAAGATTTAACTATCAAATATTTAACTGCACTGACGTTCTATCTGGACTCTAACACATCCACTGAACACCCTCTCAGCTCGAAAGAACGATTCACAAATATCCAAATTAAACTATAGCTTCTGGGTTTCTAGGAAGTAGTCTCTCATTTGGAACAGAACAATGGTCTAAACAAACAAACAAACAGGTAAACCCTGCAGGCAAAACCCAGTCATCATTTCTCAGTCAAACCATTGGTCATTTCCCTTTGAGCAGCTACAGCAGGAAGCACTGGTATCTGCATCCTCTCCAGCACCTCCTCCAAGGAAACAAGAGGAAATACAGGAATGTCATTCCAGAATCGTATTTTTAACAGGAAATTAATAATCATCACATTATTCAGAATCCTTGGAACTTCTCTTAAGGTTACCATTTCGGCTGCAGCACTTTAACAGAACTAGAATGAACGCTGGAAAATATTCAACAATTGATCGATCTGTTGGGTATATCAAGGATGTCATTTTCTTTCAGATTTCTACCATTGTAAATTATGAAGAAGTCCAAAGCTGAGACCTGACAATTGTGTTTGAAAATTAAACAATGTCACTGTGTTGTTGCAAGGAAAGCTATATCAAGAAAGAGGTTTGGCACCAAACCATATATGTAGCGTAAGCAGACCATCAAGACCAGTCCCAGCAGCATAAAGCTTATACTGTATATAACCAACTGCTGGTAGTTTCCTTTTATGTAAAAGTAAAAATAATTTAGGATGGATTTTCAGTAGCACAGTTAGCAAGTATAATGGTCGCCCCATTTTCTAATAATATATAAATGATCCCTGCATTTAATAATAGTGTCTTTCACACTGGGAGGCAGTCTGAAGCACTTCACTAAAATGTAGCGAGTGTGGATTTCTAGGTGAACGTGACAACCAATTAGCGCACTGTTGGGTCTGGCAAACAGGCATGAAGTTTGGCCAATTTTATCTGGGAGATGGCTGGCCAGGACTCTTGGAGAAACTCACTTCTCTGATAAATTCACATTTGGGTGCAGGCTCATCAGCACTACAACAACAACAAAATTACATTTGTATAGGGCCTTTCACATAGGGAGGACGTCCCAAGGCGCTGAGGATGCTACCACTTCCATTAACTCCTCTAAATGACTACTCTTTATAAACAAGTCTAGACAGTGAGTTGCAGCAACTAATCACTGCAGGGGTGAGGTGGTAGAAAGGATTACAGCTAAAACCAATCCCATTCAAACAACAACTCAGGAAGCACTGACCAGGTAAACACAATCTGGGTATGCATTGCTGAGTATATCAAGTAAACTGTTAGGTAAGCTTAACTCTGATTCTTTGAAACAAACAAGACGTGCTCATAAAAATACCAGCAAGAATTGACTTGGATTATTGATTTTCCACACAGTAATTGAAGCAACTTTTCGAATTAAAAACCTGAAGGAACACCTGAAAAGTTATTTTAGTGATCCTTTGAGAACCGAGGCATTTACAAGGCTTATTGACTGCTCTGCAGCCAAGCGTAACATGGCAGTATTAAAGGAGAATTAAAGAGCGTTATAACTGATTCCTTCAGAAACTCACAGTAACCTTTACGTTTGTTAAGAATTGATCACTATTTTATATGGTGCTGTGATAATGTTATGGTTGATAAAATAAGTTGGTTACCTTGCTATCCAGNTTTTTCATGGTAACAAGATCAAGAGATTTCAGCGAGTGTCCTGTGGGTGCAATGAAGTACAGGCAGGTATGAATTCTGGTGTCGTGGTAATTGTAGAGGGAACGCTTGATTTTCAATTCTTCCTGTAGATAGGCTTCAAACTGTGCATCAATGTATTCAACTATAGGCTTGTAACTGGAATGGGAAGTACAAAGCAGATTAGAAACATTATTGGACAAACTTGGAAAAACAATTAATTTTAAACACAGGCTGGCTGGCATTAGGTATTTTAGGTAAGAAATGGTATTTAAGATCAATTTTTTTCCTCTTGTTATTCAAAATACGTTCATCGTCATGACCATTTACAAAGTTGTTTTCTGATTTTGTTTTCAACTAGATGTCTGGCTATGGACCATGCCAACCAAAATGAACACAAACTGAAGAATTACCATCACTTGAGAATAAGCAAGATTGTCTTCTCGTTCTCAGTGACTTGATTAGGAACAATGCCTGTTCTATACTCTATCTGCGATTAAAGGTCAAAGAGATCCAGATTTACAGATTCAAGAAGCGACTCTCACTCACATTTGTCTTTAGTCGACTGGTGACTGTTAGTTGGAAAGGGGGTAGCTCTTCCAAGTCAATGCAAGTGCTTGGTTGATGTACTGTGTTGTGCCATCAAAGACTTCTTTCTACGTTCTATATGGAATTCCTTTCAAGGACTGTTTATTTCTTTGTTATTTTGTGTTTGTGTATTATTTCTAGCTTTTTAAAATTAAATCTATCTCTGTTGATAAATATTTTGTGTGGCTAATACCCATGTCAAGATGTCAATACTTCCCTTGACTAAATTAGGCAGATCGTGGTAAAGGTGGCCCTTTGCAGAAAGGGCATCACCTGAAGCAGGACCTAGTTCAAATTATGCTGATGTGAATTGTGGGCACAGGTTAAAAAAAAACTTTAAAAATTTCCTGAAAGCCTTCAGATTAAATCTTGTCACACACCACCTGCTACCACAGCTTTGATCAGTTAACTCAGCATAGACGTGGATTCAAACCCTAAATCTTTCCTGTATGGCCCTAATGCTTCACTGGGAGAGGGGAAGCTTTGTTAATTTCATGGCATGTCACGTACCCACTGATCAATGTGACCACATCATAGCAGAAAGGAGACTTAGCTGCCAGGCTATTTTTACAACTTTCTTAAGTGAACAATTTCTCCCACAAAATATAGTCAATTCACTTTACAGTATATTCTGTGAAGTGCTATCAAATGCAAGGATTATTATTTCTGCAGCTTTGTTTAGTCTCTACCCATCATTTTCAGAGGAGGAAGCATCTGTCATAACAAGACAAATGGTCACATTTGAGGCAATTATTCAAACCAACTTTTCTATTCATTTTACAGGATTTAAAAAAATATATATATATTGATCCTTACTTCAGCAGCTATGGATAAATTATTTTGCAGCAAGACGGTGCCTGACTACATTAGGCTCACACCCAACATTGATCTTTTATCATGTGATGTTATTTGAAATAATCGATCCTATTAACTCTGATGACTTGGTTTCAAATGGTAGACTGCCCGTCTCCTAAGCAAAGACTAGGTCGGGAGTTCAATGAACCAAGTTCCCTTTCCTAAAGGTCAAATTTACTTAAAAAGAAGTCTGCATGTTCTTGGCTACAGAGCACATCTCATTAAACTGTACAACCATAGTTTCTTTCACACTGTCCACAGTAAGTACTCCTGCCTGTCTGCTCAGCATAAATTCTCCCGGTGCTGATCACCTGCCCACTGCAAGCGTTCATGGTGAGATTGCCTCAGTGTAGCGTTGAGCCAAGCAGACCCACAATATTCCATGTGCAATCCCTTGTCCATGCTGAGTTTATTAATCTCAGCCAAGCACAAGTGCTTCCAGGTTGGGATGGGGAAAGACAAAGATGGTCATGGATCCCTATACATTGCAGCGATGGCAACTGTTTGCTATTTGGTGAACGAGAGTAAGATCGTAACCACTAAGGAGGGATGCTGACACCCATGAACCACAGGTGTACCTGAGCACAATTCCACAAACTACTCTGGATTAATATTCTCTTCAATTTGGTTCACAACATCTGGATCAGACAACTAGTGAACCAGATCTGGGAACAGCTGGATGCTAACATGGAGTGTCCAAAATGGGGGAGTGTTCTGTTCCCCAGTGCTAACATCCCTTACCTTAATGAGCATTAAAAGAACACATCCTTGATCTTTTAAAGGAAAGTAGTCTCTTCATTCTAGTCACTGTATATTGGATGATCATTCAAATGTAAACACTCACCTATCTTCCTTGTTAATCTGGTCGCCAAACCCCACTGTATCTACGATAGTGAGCTTTAGACGAACATTGCTTTCCTGTAGCTCGTAGCTGTGCGATTTTAACCGAACGCCTGGTTCGTTGTGAGATGCCTGCTCGTTTTCAAACTTAGTATTGAATAACGTGTCCATTAATGTCGATTTACCAATACCAGTTTCACCTTTAAAAACAAAGGAAATTTTTTTAAATTTGTGTTTTATACATCTAATTCTCTTAGTTCTGGGAGAGCAAAATGAAAAGCAATTGATCCCTTCCAGTCGGAAATAGGTTCCATACCCGAGAGGTCTGACTTACCTGCAGATGTCTCTCCGTCTAGATCTATAATTGAAGTTTACAGAATCCAAGGCTTTTAGTGGTCATATAATAGTATGTGCACACACACTTCTGCTAAACACAGAGTTGATCCAAGCATTAAGTTACAACATCCCAAACCACCCCAGGCACTCTCATCATATATTTCTGACTCAAGTAGAAAAAGTTAAAGACAAATTATTAATCCAAAACCTGCACTGTTCCTCCAAGATTGTTTTTTCCTGCAATAACTGCAGCACGACAATCACTTTACACAGTGATGCGCCCTCCTAATGGAACACTTTGGTATCAAATACATGGCTATGAGTGGCTTGCAGACAACCCTTGACGTGTGGGGCAAGCACTTACTGTTGAGGAGAGGGCGTGGGCATCAAAGGAAAACAGAAAAGGGGCAGAGCGGGATTTTTCTTATCACCTCTCTCCTCTTCCACTGGTACTTTTGCTCTTGTACTCTATCACCCTGTAATACCTTACCCAAGTGGATGTTCAGCTTCAATAGCGAGTATTGTGGGGGGAGAGGGAAGTGCGACAATTGAAGCAGTATCTCATCCTCCCCGTCTTCCAGCAGGGATCTTTGGATAGAGATCAAGAGTGGGAACCTATATTAATTTTCCTGCTCCCTAACTGAGCTGCTGAGGACAATTGCAGCAATCCAGCTGCTGCCTATGGGAATCACCATGGAATAATCCTCGTGGTTTGGTTTTAGTTTAACACTTAGCTCAAGTGGCAATTAACAACTGGGAATTATACTTATGACTTTCTGGTGTCTTTACTCACTACACCATCAGTAGAGTTCAGAAACGGATACCATCACTGACTGTTTAAATCTCGTGCTCTCCCTCTCAGCCAGGTGGATTATTTCACATTCTCCGTAGTGAGAGTCGATTATCTGATGATTCCACATAGGCCAGGAATGGGACCAGATTCTGAGAAATTCAATCTCTAATCAGAAGATTTATTTTTCACATTACACCTTTCCACAATGTCTCCCACCACACTGAAATTACACGAGACTTGCGTCTTACCACAGCAGCAGGATACAGTGTGAAACAGGGATTTTAGAAACTTGGATCGCTTATGTGACTGATGCTCATTTTGTCACCTCGGAGTCACCTTCGCTATATAAGTGTCATTTTGTTGTTGTTGCAATGCGGTGCTGTGGGTGCACTGCGTTGTTGGAGGCACCATCCTTCGGATATTAAAACAAGATCCTGTCTGCCTGACTAAAGATCTCCTGGCACTATTTGAAAAACAAAGGGAGTGTTTCCTGGCCAAGGAATTGGTCATTCACGTACTGGCTGTATGCAGGACATTACTATGTGAAAATCAACTGCCGTATTCACCTAAAAAATATACAGTCACTTCACAATAAACCCTGTGAAGTGCTTTAAGGCAAAGTAAATAAAAGGCACTGTATCAAATGCAAGGATTTAATATGAATCATTAACTAAAATTATTACGAAAAAAAGGAAGATTACTATTAGATTACTAAACAAGGAAACCAAGATACAGGTAACAGAAAGCCTCAGGAAACTCCTTTCTAACATAATCTACTTTGGGAGCAGAGTTCCTCGAAGCCAGCTCGAGATATTTCTGTTATTGGAATAAAGTCCTCGCCTGAATTACAGAATTGCTGCGTAATAAAGCACATAGTTTTATAAAGACCCAACTTTATTCAGGGAATAGCCGAGCCATGAACAGAATGGCTCAGGTGTCATAATAATAATCTTTGAATTTATATAGCACTTTTCACGTCTTCTAGACTTCTCAAAGCGTTTCACAGAATATACTGTGAAGTGAATTGACTGTATATTTGTGGACGAAACACGGCAGCCAATGGCGCATAGCAGTGTCGCACAAGCAGTTGTGGATTGAAGTGACCAATTTATTATTGTTTTTTTCTTGAGGGGATTATTGTCAGTCGTGAGGAGTTTTCGCCCTGCCAGGAAATCGAACCCAGGTCGCTCGCTTGCAAGGTGAGTGCTCTAGCCACTGAACTACAGGACTCCATGTGTACTGAGTTCACTGATTCAAGTGAGAATGGTTGACCAGGGTGATAGATTTAACCTCAGTTCCCTGTATGGGTGGTTGTGGGGGGAAGCTGGTGTTCTCACTCTGGCACATTATCCAGAGATTCCTTCTGGAATCATACGTACAGTAGAGATAAATTGAGTTTGGCAGGGTTGTGCAGCCCTCAAGCCTACCCTCCCATCACCACTTGGGCAAAGGACTAGAGGTCCCCGAGGAACTGTGTCAGAGAGGAAGAAAAGTAGCCAAAGATCTGGAGAAAAAGGGAGAAAATTGGCAAGAATCATTTTGATCAAAGTCCGAATTGATGATGGAAACAAGATGCGGTACAAAGAATTGCAAACTGGAGTTTTTTAAATCTCATTTGTAGAATTCTTGATCCAAAGATACATTTCTTGGCACATTACATGTATGATTTAGTAGGATCCAGCTGTTATTTTAAAATGATTCCTTTTTCCAGACAGACACTTAACCACGATAGTTAAAAGCAGTTTAAAATGAAATTCCCTGCGGTAAATTTAAGATGAACAGCAAGGCTGAACTCCTGAGTAACAGACTTTGTGGAGGCAAAGCTTCCTCCAGGGTGTTGTTAAAGAAGGACACTGCTGTAGGAAATCATCTCGTCATTTTTCTCTTATGTATATTTTAAAACTGATCTTCAGAAAATAAAACATTTGTGAATTTGTTTTGTGGTTTTACTGGAATCGGACAAGAATCATAGAATCAAGAATCACAAAATTATACAGCACAGAAGGAGGCCATTTGGCCCATCATGTCTGTGCCGCTCTTTGAAAAGAGCTTCCAAATCAGTCTCACTCCCCCGCTCTCTCCCCATAGCCCTGCAAACTTGTCCTCCCCAAATAATTATCTACCTCTCTCTTAAAAGCTGTTATCGAATCACCTTTTCAGGCAATGCATTCCAGATCCCAACAACTCGCTGTGTAAAAAAAAGTCTCCTCATCTCCCCTCTATTTCTTTTAACAACTATTTTAAATTGGTGGAAATAGTTTCTCCTTGTTTACCCTATCAAATCCCCTCATAATTTTGAAAACTTCTATTAAGTCTCCTCTTAACCTTCTCTGCTCCAAGGAGAATAATCCTGGCTACTCTAGCCTCTCCTGATAACTGAAGACCCTCATTACTGGTACCGTCCTGGTAAATCTCCTTTGCACCCTCTCCAATGCCTCCTTCCTAAAGTGTGGGGCCCAGAACTGAACACAGTACTCTCGCTGAGGCTTAACCAGTATTTTATAACGGTTCATCATAACTTCCTGACTTTGTATTCTATGCCCCTATTTATAAAGCCTAGCAAACTGTATGCTTTTTTTAACAGCTTTAACTACGTTTTCTGCCACCTTCAAAGATTTACTTATATGAACCCCCAGGTCTCTCTGTTCCTTCACCCCCTTTAAAATTGTACCATCTAGCTTACATAGCCTCTCTTCCTAAAATGCATCACTTTGCATTTCTCCACATTAAACTTCATCTGCCAAGTTTCTGCCCATTCTACCAGTCTGTCTACATCTGTTTGCAGTCTGCTACTATCCTCCTCACTGTTTTCCAGTTTTCCTAGCTTAGTATCATCTGCAAACTTGGAAATTGTACTCCCTATACCCAAGTCCAGTCATTTATATAGATCAAAAACAGCAGTAATCCCAATACCGCCCCCTGGGGGAGACCACTGCACACTTCCCTCCAATCAGAAAAACAACCGTTGACCACCACTCTCTGCTTCGTGTCTCCAGCCGGTTCTGTATCCATGCTGCCACTGTCCCTTTAATACCATGGGCTTCTATTTTGCTTACAAGACCCTTATGTGGCACTTTATCAAACACATTTTGAAAATCCATATAAACTACATCAACTGCACTGCCTTCATCCACTCTCTCCGTTGCTTCATTAAAAAACTCTTATCAGGTTTGTTAGACATGATTTGCCTTTAACAAATCCGTGTTGGCTGTCCTTTATTAACCCATATTTTTCTAAGTGAAAATTTATTTTGTCACGAATTATAGTCTCTTCGAAGTTTCCCCGCTACTGATGTTAGGCTGACTGGCCTGTAGTTCCCGGGTTTATCCTTCTACTCCTTTTTGTACAGGGGAGAAACATTTCCAACCCTCCAGTCTTCTGGCACCACCCTGGTGTCCAAGGAGGATTGAAAGATTGTGTCCAGAGCCTCCGTTATTTCAACCCTTACTTCTCTCAGTAACCTAAGGATGCATCCAGTCTGGACCAGGTGACTTATCTACCATGAGCACCGATAACCTTTTTAGTACCTCCTCTCGGTTTATTCTTAGCTTATCCAATTTCTCTACTTTCTCCTCCGATACTGTGGTATTGGCTGCATCCGCTTCTTTTGTGAAGACAGATACAAAGTACTCATTCAATACGTCAGCCATGTCCTCTGCCTCCACAAGAAGATTTCCTCTTTGGTCCTTAATTGGACCCTACCTTTGACTAACCTTTTATTCTTTATATGCTTATAAAATATCTTAGGGTTCTCTTTTATGTTACCAGCTAATCTTTTCTCGTTCAATCTCTTTGTCCCTATTATTTCCTTTTTCAGTTTTCCTTGCTACTTTCTATATTCTATTTGATTACCTTCTGTATTTTGGACCTGACCTTTATCATAAACCTCCTTTCTCTGTTTTATTTTAATCCCAATTTCCTTACTCATCCAGGGAGGTTTGGATGCCCTACCTTTCCCCTTTGTGGGAACGTTTTTGTTCTATTCCCGAACTACCTGGAGTCCTGTAGCTCAGTGGTTAGAGCACTCGCTTTGCAAGCGAGAGACCTGAGTTCAATTCCAGGCAGAGGGCG